CAGCCTATTCCTCCCTTCTGGTGTGCCCGCATCCCCCCACAACTTAGTGTCGTCAGCAAATTTGAACAGGGTGCTTTTTAGTGCCCCTTTCTTCCCCTTGTCCAAGTCACTGATGAAGATGTTGAACAGTGCGGGCCTGAGGACCGAGCCCTGGGGGACCCCACTGCCCACATCCCTCCAGGTTGAAAATGACCCATCCACCACCACTCTCTGGGTGTGGCCCTCCAGCCAGTTGGCGACCCATTTGGCTGGAGGCAGGCCTATGTTTCATTTTCTCCAAGTAAAAATGGGGAGATGTAATGGCAGTGTTTTGTGTCTGTCTTCAGCTATTATGGGTAATAAGTGGATAGAGTTTCACTTGTTTATACACCAGATGTTTGAAATAACCTTTGTATTCTGACTATGATTGAGCTTTGTCTTAAGCAGTCTGTTAGCAAAATGACTTTCCCCCGCTCTTCTCCCTATCCTAGGGAAAGTACTGTCCAAATTAAAGAAGCTCATCCTATTTTTGATAATTTGGAAGAGTCCAGCTTAATACAGAGAGGAATCAATCAAAATGGTGCTGCTGAGTGCTCAAGTCGCAGTCAAGATTCTTTGTTTGAAATATTACCACTTGAACTTTTGGAAGGTATTTAACTTCTAGAAATGTATACACTTAATTGTTCACTACAACTTTTTTGCATTCTCTGTTGACACCATTAACATTTTTGTAGCACAGCATGAGCAGTACTTCTCTTGGAAAATTATTATCGACTTTCAAAGATAGAAAGATACACTAGTAGGCATCTGGGGCTTGTATCAAGTTTCACATGTGATTCCGAAGGTAAGGCTAAATGAAATGGCTGTTCAGGTCCAAGGTCTGATGTCTGACAAACAGCCTAAACCAGAAATCAATCATGAATACTCCTGAAAAATTGATATTCATGGGTTCACAGAGAAGTCACTTGTTTTCATTCCTTGCTACAAACCATCAGAATTGTATTGTGATGAGCACCTTTCCTTTTTCCTTTTCTACATTGGCCTGAATTAGATGGTCATATGCAACTGGAAGAAGAGCTAGAAAACAGTGCTTGTACAATTTAAAACATTGTTCTGGTTTTGTAAAGTGATTTAATTAATTATAAACTTCTTTAATACCAGTTGCTAAAATCACAATGCCTTAAAATAAGAGCGTAGTAATGGAAATGAGTTAGTAATTGGTGATCTGATTTTGAAGGCTTGGGTATCAGTATTAAACCATCTTTTATTTTTTGAATGCTAATCTGAATAGATTAGGGAATCACTAAGTATTGTAGGTGTACTTGTATTTTTGACTCCCTGCTTCAAAGAAAAATCTGGGAAGAAAACAGTTCCTTCTGGCTACTGTAGTGCCTTTTTTTCCATTCAAAGAGAAATGTCATTGAAATTCGGTAGAAAAAATACCAGATTTAGAAAATAGGTACATCAACTTTTTAAATATAATTGGGTTTACATATTTCCTCATGAATACAGATTCATAGATTCATAGATTAAGGGTCGGAAGGGACCTAGTAGATCTTCTAGCCCGACCCCCCGCCAGGGCGGGAGAACAACAAAAAACCCCAAAAAGAGAAATGGGACTCAAACAAGTCCAGCCAGGTAGGCATCCAGCCTCTTCTTAAAGACCCCCAGGGTAGGGGCCAGCACCACTTCCCTTGGAAGTTGGTTCCAGCTCCTAGCCGCCCTAACCGTGAAGTAGTTTTTGCGGATGTCCAATCTATACCTCCTCTCCATCA